TTGTCTGTGTAGATTGATTTTTTTTAGGATGGTTTTTTCATATTTGTATTGAGCGCATTTTTTATTGGGAATGACATGTTTGGAAAAGATTGGCTCTCCGCGTAAAGCTCCCCCCTACAAACTTACTGAATAAACTACTTTTTATATCACTAAGTTTCTATCGAACAGTCGTATATACCTAATCAAGTAAGTTGTGAGTCTCGTTAAACTCGTTCAGCTGTTAAGAATCAGACTATTGTGGGCCAGTTACCGAACGCTTACCTTGATAAGCGTTTATCAAGTCACATTTACATTATGTATATGGTAAGGACCAAAATCTTACCCGGTAAGAGCGAGACGGAGACCAAGAGTCCTACCCAGTAAGTGAAAGCGACCACTCTTATCATGGTAATGCTTACCAAGTAAATTGTTGTATACGATGCCGTTTTGATGGACTAGAATCTTACCCGACAAGTAAGTGATAGTGTTGAATTTTAACAGTAAGCGCTAACCGGGTAAGTGTTTGGTAAACAACTCCTTAGTCTCTCATACTTACATGTACGAGATTAGGAGTTAGACTAAAAAACCAAAAATAACAATGGATTGTAAACTATATGAACAAAAACCAGAATTTGGTAACCACAAAGACGAAAGCCGTAATTTTTATAAAATTATAGTAATGAAAAACGTAATTTAGCATTTTTGTTATTTAGAGTTTGTTTGTTTATATCATAATAATTCTATTAAAAGACAACATCTGAATCGTTAAGAGATGAGTCTTATTGGACAAAAACAAAGTATGCCTCTTAATGGTTCTAAAACCCTCTGTCCTCTGAATGATTTTGTATTATGGGTCTCCCTTAACCATTCAACGTTCTAATTTCATTGTAAACAATTATATTTCATTTTGTAGTATATCACGAGAGCCTCTTAATCATTCTATATAAAACTATTTAACAACTGCCAAACAACCTCTTAGTATGAATAAATTATATAGAAGATAACGTATTTTTCATCTATTTTATATTTTTAGGACAAGTTTTGAAAATATATATTTAAAGTCGTTTAACTTTTACGTAATTTACCTCGTTATTTAATATCAATGGTTTTTTCCTTATCAAGTGGTTTTTGAGACAATGATATATGTGGATTATTTGGGTGCGTAAGTTACAAGTTCAATTCTCTTTAGAAATATTAAATCATAATTTTGTTGATTATTTCAAAAGAGAGATATATATATATATATATATATATATAATATATATATATATATATTCATTTTCGTACGAAAACACTAAGCAAATCAGAGAATAAAAGATGGGAGAATCACATGTGATTTTACATTAAAATCACGTGTAAAATCACATCTGAGGTCATGGGTCATGTTATCTGCACATCCTTACGTTGACCATTAGTGTAAAAATCATATATGATTGTGCATACAATTTTTACCATTTTTGTATTCTCTTATTTAGTTTAGAACCCCTCTTTTTCTCTCTCATTAATTTTATATATATATATATATATATATATGACATTTTTTTGAGTACCCATAAAATTATGATAACTTTGAGAATTTGTGCATTATTTATTATTTCATATGATTTTTTTAATCTAAAACTATGATTTAAAGTATTGATTAACATATATTTATTTTACGACGCGTTTATTTCACATATAACCGGTTCACAATATGAACACTTTTTACATGTTTGTAAAACAAAAAATACACCTACAAAAGTTGCACATTGTGAATTAAATACATATGAAACAAACACAATGTGAAACAAATATATGTTAATCAATAAATAAAATAAAATACTTAGACGGAAAAAAAAAATCATGTGAAACAAACATTAAGGTAGAAGTCTCACAGATCTCACAAATTTAAAATTTTCTCAAATAATTAAAGCCCGTATACATGGGAGTTTTCAAATACAAAACTTCCAAATATGTTTAAGACTTAAAATCATGTAAGACAAGTTTGTTTTCGTGAGACACGATTTATGTACTTGAAACTTCACAGCAAAACACTGTGAAGGTAACATTCACAATGTTTTTGCTGTGAAAATTCGGTTTTTTTTACCTTCACAACATTTTTTTGTGAAGTTCAAGTGTAAAAATCGTGTCTCACGTGTTTCACAAAAACAATCTTGTCTCACGTGAACCCAATCCTATGTTTAATGCATCTAACAAATATGTTTTGCCTTTTTAATGACAAAAATACCCTTAAATATGTGTATGGGTCTTTTTATCTCTTCGTTGTCATCTTCTCACGTCTCACATTTTTTTAGATATTTATGAACAATTAAAAATCAATTGATCGAAAAATAGTAACATTCTTTCTATTGTTTTTTATGCTTTCCTGAAACCAAAAAGACAACACCTTTTATGACCATATTGTATTTTCAAATACCGGATCTTTTGATCTTAATTCTCAATGCCCATATAAGTAGAAATCAGATCGTCCTCATATCCAATCTTATTTGCATATCAAGGTTAAAATTTTAGAAATGAACAATTTTTCAAAAACAAACTACAATAAAATTGTGAACATTTATGGCCCTATTACCAAATGTTCATCGCGTAAACACTTACAAACAAAAGTAATTACTCTCGCCTACCTTATCACATCAAAATAGATTTGTCGGTAAGCATCTTAAGAGTCATTTTCCTTCATTTACTGGATAAAACTCTCGACCTTTGTTATGCATCTCAATGATCAAGATTTTTGGTTCCTATCATGCTTAGTCGGTAAGGCAAGTGATATCAGAACATGTTCACCCAAAATTTGTAAACAATTCTTCATTTTAGCACGGAAGAAGCATAATATTATTTCGGAATAATTAATAAAGATAAAACTACAAAAACGCACATGTAAAATAACCAATCTTACTTTGTACTTTATATCCAAAACCTTAAATTCTTGCAAAATACGATACATATACATATATATATATATATATATAATTTTTATTTTTTAAAAGGAGTAATGGTTTGTTTAGTATTAAGGGGGTGTTTGGGATTGTTTATTTAAAACAACTTATGCTTTTTTGTAAAAGTGCTTATTAACTTATGTGGTATCAAACCGGAGTTTAATAAAACAGGGTTAAAATTGTAAACTGGTAATAAGCAGTTTTTCATAAGTCGGGAAGGATTAACTTATCAAAAACAACTTACGGTATAAGCAGTTTTTTACTTCTTATCCAAACACAAAACAACTTATCATCAGTACCAGACTGAAATAAATTAAAAAGCAGCTTTTATAAGCAATCCCAAACACCCCATAAATATATATTCGGAAATTGAAGGGGACATGTCGACAAAGAAGGGGCCGACGTGGATGATGGAATTGGAGATTTAAAGGGGAATAAATTGGTGGCCGGAAATGGATGGGTGAGCGAGCATCTTCAATAATATATAACAAATCATTTGTCAAATAGAGTTCAGACGTTACCTTCTATTAGCTTTCCTTCGAAAACGACATACTGCAGGCAACACACTAATGTTATATTTCAATTCTTGTTGCAACGTAAATGGTACGATATGATTCAAAATATCTATATCTATTTACCATTTATATATCATATATCTTTTAAATGCATTCTCGTTTGAACCCTTATGTATATGTATATATATATGATACGGTCAAAAGGTCCATCAATGTGGATCCTTTATGTAATTTGAACACTTACATATATACATATACGAAGGATCTTGTGAGAATTTGAGTTAAAGTGATTGATCACTTTTAATCTTATCACCGCCCCAGGAATTGCGTTTGATACAAAATTGATTTCGTGCATTTCATTATCGTTGATCTTCAATTAGGATCAATTCAAGAGTGGAGATCTCTTCTCACCATAACTTACATTCTCACTGTAACCCAACTGAAAATACATATATACGTATATATGAAATGAAAGCGCAAGAACAACATTATCACATGTGGTAATACAAATGAGTGAGACTGTAAACAAACCAAACTTCACTAGTTCATTCTCACCGTAACCCAACTAAAAATACATAATAATTAACAATTGCAAATAATAGAGAGCCGGTTCTATTACATGCTTTACATTCCATCCCACGTCATCCATGTATAGAATATATATATGTATGTATATATATCGCGCCTATTGTCATCCCTTCCATCTCACCAATTGATTATTCTCTTTAAGCCATCCCACACAAAGGGTTCAATGGTGTACCCCTTTAAAGCGGGTTGACCTTGTGTTTGATTAAGAATGTTTGATTATGTTCATTTAGCTTTTAAATGAACGAACACGAACATGCTTATTTTTTTAAACGAACGAACTCGAACATTAATTTTTTTGTTTGTTCGTTTATTCGGTTAAGTTAAGCAAACGAACATGAATAAGCCTTCGTTTGTGTTCATTTGGTTCGTTTACATGCCTACCTAGTGGTGTGTGGACGACGTGTCCTACAACTTAGGTCGTGCCACAGGTCGTATGTGTCTTTAATTTAGTATCACATGTGATGAATTATAGTATCATACTATAACATAATTGTCGAATGTAATAATAAACCCAAGGGGCCTAGTGGTGTTAGGGCAACTTGGCCCACAACCTAGGTTGCATCAAAGGATATTCATGTGTGATGAAATATAGTATATATGTGTATATATGACACATATATATCACATGCGTATCATCTATGATGGAATATAGTATCATATGAGATTGACAATAGTAAAAGTTTATTCTCATAAAATGAAGGTAGTGTCGTTTGGACCCTTATATGTGTGTGTGTATGTATATATGACACATTCAAAAAGTCCATGAATGTGAATCTATCATTATGTCTACACGTAAATGGTACGTTATAATTCAAATCATTTAAATATGTCTATATATATGTGTGACACGTTCAAAGGGGTCCATGAATGCGGGTTCTTCGCTAGGTTTGCGCACAAAGAAAAAATCGAAGGGAGAATTCGAAATAGAATATGTAATTTATTAAATCTATATGAGAATGATGAGGCTGAGAATGTATTTATCTTATCTGAGAAGCGATCTTGTCAAATGTTCACGAGCCGTTGCCAATGCTTGAGTAATAGTCTGTAATCATTTGAAGCATAATATTAGTTAGATCGAATAACAACGTCAAAACTTGAACTCATGTCAAAGTTACAAGACTTGGGAAGACATCTCTTTTGTTAATAATGAGAGAGAGTTGGATTCTCGTGAGACCGGATTTTTTTCGTGAGACGTGTGAGACCACAGAATAACACTAAATATTTACAACAGAACATTGTGAAGGTACAAAGAAAAAATGGAGCATTCACAGCAAAAACATTGTTATTGTGAAGGTTCAGTAAGTGTCATTTAGGTGGTTTCACATGTCTCAAGAAAAAAATCTGGTCCCACATGATCCCAAGTCTATTAAGAGAACCGGAAAGAGCATAAAAGTGCTTTTATAGTATGAAATTCAATTCCATTCCATATGTGAATCAAACACAAAAATGAAATTTGGTCAACGGAATTAACCATTCCAATTCATTTAGATTCCATCAAAATGTTGCGAACCAAATAAGGCTTAAAACATTTTTCTATTTCCATTTCCCAACTTTCTCATTTTCATTCCCTAAAGCGAACCAAGTGTCCCTGTCCCTTTCCCTTCCTTACATACCATAGTTAAAGCAACAATACTGAGATCGAGCTGCGTGTACCTGTTCGGACAAGGGAGCCCCATCATCCATGCTATGTGTAGCTACTTTCCCGGCAATCATATTCCCATCAGTTTCAAGAATCATTCTGTCACGTAAAAGTCATTACCAACTGAAACACTTCTTTCTTTTCATAAACATGGGAACTTATAAATGAAATTCGAATAAAATTAGAATATTCAAAGTTACGAAAATAAAGCAAAGGAAAATCATGATAATATGTCAATGGTATTTGCTATTTGCAATTCATTAATTCTCTTGGATATGTGTCATCGTCCCACTTATAAACCAAACAAACAACTCATTAAATCCCACAACTTAAAAAATAAAATATTCCCACGTGAAAAATGCTTCATAAAGATCACAATAATTAATTGGTGGAGTTCAGAAGTTTCGTATTTTCCTAGACAAAACTGACATGTTGGGTTGGTCCTACATGTCAGCAACAAGAAGTGGTGCATCAAAAACTTCCATTTCCAACAAATAACCATTTAGCATAATTTGTTGATCTTGGATCTTAATTGCTAGAACCACTCTTTTAATTAAGGGGTGGTTCAATAAACTCTTACTTTTATTTGGTAAGCGTTTATCGAGCGTCATTTATCTTACGAGATGAGCATGACAAGAACCGAAAATATTACCCGGTAATAGGCATAGTAAAGACTGAGAATCTTACTCAATAAGCCGTGTAAAAGATGTTTACAAAACAATCTAATTTGATGGCCAAAAATATTATCTGATAAGATAAGTGAGGGTGATGACTCTTCCCGGTAAGCATTTGATAAACAACCACTGGATGGTATTTTAAGAACTTTAGTTGATTAAGACATGAGCAAGAAAGTGACAAAATGAAACTAGTGACTGATATAAATGCAAATTAGAGCTGCCTACCCTCCATCAACAATCTCATCAAGGCATAGAAACATCATATCTAAGTTTTGAAGTGCCTCCCGTTGATCAACATTACCCCTGAATCCAGAACTTGAGAATGTTGGACAATTACATGGCAAGTATTGAATATCTGGAACATCTAATTCGGAAACAATGCAGAAGTTATTCATCAACCTTAGGAGAAGGGTCACTGCATCAAAAAACCCCTGCAGGACTGTGGCCAAAGCCAATTCGTTTTCATCATCACCTCCAGTTACGAAGAAGTGCAAATCTTGTATGAACTTATACACCACAACGTTATTCTCAAACATGACTATCTCCGCTGCATAATACACCGAAAAGAGAGAAAATCATGTTGCCTTAATATAGTTGGAAGCATAAAAAGGTCTTCCACAAATCCCTTGGCAAGCACTGTGATAGATAAAAGTTAAAACCCGTACCTTCAGTCCTTGCATTTGTCTTCTGTGTTTTACTAAAGATGGACTTTTCAAAAGCTAATTTTGCGCCATTAGTCGTCCATTCATCAGTATAATACTTAACTGCCATACGCCTTCCTTCAGAGTCCAGAAGGAGGACATTCTTAATGGTAGGACTGGCATCCTATAAAACACTCACTTAGGATGATAATTTTAATACCTAATAACTACCATCAACCAAACTGCCGTTAGGAGTCAACTAAGGACATAATCAATTAAACATGCATTATAACACATTACACATGTCAAGCAGTAAATGCAATAGTTTCTAAAACGCTACAGCAACCAATAACACCCATTTTAGTAGGCATCGACAAGTATATGGATCCCATTTCCACCCAGAAAACTTCATGTCAATAAGGATCTAATTTGGATGATAACACTCTCACTACCATGTATTACAATTTCATAAATCGCTACATTATGAATCACATTTGCTTCAGCTCAACTGCTGCGTACAAAACACCTATCATCAACAAGTATATGGATCCATTTCCACCACCAAAACTTCATGTTAATAAGGATCTAATTTGGATAATAACACTCTCGTTACTATGTATTACAATTTTATAAATCGCTACGTTATGAATCACAATTGCTTCAGTACAACTACTGCGTACAAAAGACCTGTCATGAAACGAAGATTACAAATGCTCTAAGAAAACATTGCATAAATCTGCTTAATAAACGCAACTAAACAACATCAGAACCTTCGATGTATGTCACGTATATATTGATCCGTCAAAAACATTATTCAACGCGAAAAGGAAGACTGAATACATAATTCACATCAGAGATCACGTAATGAAAAGATCTAACGCAAACATTCATACATCTATAAGAACCGAATCAACCGATGATGTGACGAATACCAAAACTCGCGAATCAATTTCGATTAAAATCATAGAACACTAGCAATTTAGCATGTATTCAAATAAGTAGGAAATTCATAACAGAGATCGCCTATAACTGCAAAAAAAAAGAAAAAAAAGAGAAAAGTAGACATACTCTACGAGCGATCTTCTCCATTGATGGAAAGAATCAGAGAATTCGGTTGGCGGAGCACTGAATTGCAAGAAGCAAATGAAATGAGATTTTGGTACGAAGAAGGCAATGAAGGAAACTTTATAGGTTGGGTTTGGGGCCTAATTGTTCTGATCTGTGTGTTGCTTTTAATGGGCCAAAGCCCACTACAAAAATTTTGCCCACAAATCCACATCTCAAATAAACGAAAGAGTAAGTTACAACTTTAGCCCCTGAACTATTTCATAACATGCATTTTTAGTCCATAAAACTATTTTCATGGTTTGTCTACGATAGTTATTCTTGGTAGTGTTTGGTTTATGAGACTAAGGGGTTGTTTGTTTACCTCTTAATAGTTTCATTAAATGGCAGCTCTGGATTGCTAAAAGATGAATCTTGTTTGGCAAAAAAAAATCTGTCTCCTAATGGTAAAACCCTCTGAATGATTTTGTATCTTGGGTCTTTCATAACCATACAACGCTCTAATTTTACTCTTAACAATTACCAGACAATTATATTTCATTTTGTATTATATCATAATACTCTCTTAATCATTCTGACTACTTAATCATTTTGTACCAAACCATTTAACAACTGTCAAACAACCCCTTATACTATGAATGAAATGGACTATTATCATAAATAACCATACGAGATAAAAAGTTCTATTTTTTAGTCACCTCTAATTTTTCATTCACAAAATAGCCAAAAAACCGCAAAACACTTTTCCTTGCGGTTTCAGACATGTACTAACCATTCAAATGAAAAGTGGGCCCACCACAAATACAAATTGAGACATCATAGCTTGTGGCATCACAAGGATATGTGTCAATGCACGAAAAACAAGTCAAAGTCACAGCTTGTAGTACCGAAAGGAGATGACGCAGCTTACGGTATCACATGAAAAAAGGTGTCATACAACATTGACTTGCGGTTTGTTGATTCTTTAGTCGTTTTGTGAAAAAAAGTTGGAAGTAGTTAAAAAGTTTTTTGTGGTTATTAATGATAATAACCCGTAATTATCCACCATTAAATCATATCATATACAAGGCATTTTAGAGGTGTTATACGACAAAATAAATATGAGTACATAATTATTCTAAAATATACTATTTCTCTACTTTTTATTATGAAAAATATATCTTTAAAATTCAATATATATATATATATATATATGTGAATTATACAAAGAAAAAACAAACCGACCATTGCATCATCAAATTAATTCCCCTAAATTATATACGAGTGATTTGTTGATGAAAAAAAAAGTTGGTTTTTTATAGTAGAGAAAATTACAGATTTGGTCCTTGTGGTTTGCTGATTTTTATGGAAATGGTCCTTAGATTTCATTTATTATGGATTTTATGAAGAAGAAAAAACACTTATTCGGTAAGTGCTTATAGAGTAACTTTTCTTATCGCATGAACATGGTAATGGTCAAAAATCTTACCCGGTAAAAATAATGATAAAGGTGAAAAGTCTTACATGGTAAGTGAGAGTGACGACTCTTACTCGGGTAAACACTTATCAGGTAGAATGTTGTATACGATTTCATTTTGATGTATTACAATGTTATCCAATAAAATAAATTACAGTATTGACTCTTATGATAAACGCTTATTGAGTAAGCATTTAAGTAAACGACCCATTAATTATATATATAACTTCATTTCATAAATAAATTAAGAAAAAGCAATTTAATTTCTCATGCATGAAGAAAATGGTAAGACCAAGACCCTAACTGGGGTCTGTTTAATTTAATTAATAATTTAAATATTAAAAAAAACATCATGGGCTATAGAAAGTGGGCCCACACTTGCATTTCCAACCCTCAGGCTCATAGTTTGTATACTGGATTCCCACATGGCTAATTGTGGGAACTTGGGTGGCTTCACATGGACTGCACCCATAGCACTTATGGTCACAGCTTGGTGGCCTTGATCCTAGCCTGTTTTGAATCCCATCTTCATTCTTCATATCTTCATCCTAATTATATAATTAAGTCAACCCAACATTAGTCAAACAGTCAAAGGAGAGAGAAAGATATATATATATATATATATAGAGAGAGAGAGAGAGAGAGAGAGACACCTGTTTGGAAGGCATGTTAAATTGAAAAGACATCATATGTGTGGTGGTGGTGGTGGTTCCTGCTGATCAGGAGATTTTTACAGTACATAAGGGTCTGAATATGAATATGTATTTCTGGTGTTATTCACACATGATTAATGATAATAGTAACAACAAAAGAAACTATAACTATTTCTGGTGTTATTCATATATGAATAACAAAACACAATATAACTAACCTTGTTGTGGAGGGAAAACGACATCGTTTGGTCCCAATGGCCTGCTAATCACTCTAGTTATATACACCATTACTAAAAGAAAGCCACAAAATCTTCCCTTCATTTCTTTTATATCTTAATGAAGATGATGAATATATATGACGATGATGAAAATGATGATGGTAGAGAAAGATAATTTACAGTTTGAAAGCAGGAATCAATATGATTGCATACATACATACATATATATATACATACACACACATATATATACACACACTAATACACACACACAAAGATGAAGGGATGAGAAAGGGGTTCAAGAAAACAACAGAAGCAAGAAAACTCCAAAAAGATTTCTTGGGATTATAACAATATGTTGCTTCACAAACAAGTGATTCTACTTTCTTGCTAAAGATCCAAAAAAATCTCAACCCTTTTGACAACTCACTTGAAAACCCTAATTTCTAGAGAGAGAAAGAGAGTATATATGTAATATGTATATATATATATATACATATATATTATATATATAAACATAAATAGTTGTGTGTAGACTGAAGAGCCATCTTTTTAAGCAGAAACTTTCATTCTACAAATGGAAGTAAAGAAATCAAGTAATCAGAAAGCCTATCATACTTTTTACCTTTTCTTCTTTTTTTACAGTTGAATATATATATATATATATATCATCAATGAGTTGGTTAAAACTAATGAATGCAGTAGTAATAAATAAAAGAGTGTACCTGAGAGTCAACTGAACCACATTTGATCACATGTTGGTGAACATTGGATACAAGATGTGTACCCTCTCTTTCTAACTTTTAATCTGGGCCATTGATTGATTCTTCTGTACCCAACTTATGACACTCTTTAACTTGATAGTAGATGATGGGTATTCATGACTCATTGTACCAGGTAATATAATTAACAATGTACCCCATTTCAACGAGTGATTTCAAGTTTCAAATATGCATTTCTTCATATCAAGCATATATATATATATATATATATAATATACACACACACACACACAAAAATGAATAACTGAAAAACATCCGGGTAACCATTCATCTGGATGATATTCATATATACATACAAGTAATTGAAGTAGTTTCTTGATTTTTCTGCACGTGTCCATGCATGCACACATGCATACCAAACAAATTGTTTATAAGTTACTTCTATGCAAATGTACGACATACCGTCCAAATGAACGTTCATCAAGGTGTTATTTAATATTGTGTCTTAACCAAAAGTCTTGCCATAAAAAAAGGTATCGTTATATGCACGATATTCATATTAGAATCAGATTAAGTTATACATTAAAATGTAAAAAAGTAAGTTTTAAAAAAAAAATCAGTGGATGGGGATGATGGGAGGGATGGTAATAAATGCATAGTGAGATTTACACTTGTGTTTTAGTGTGAAAACTAGCTAAACCTGAGAAAGAAAAGCAAGGTGCACTACACCCTCCATACATGCAGCAGTAGTAGTAGTAGGATGAGCAAAGTGCACAGCTTTAGAGGCTGATTTGGAATGTGGAGTGGGAAAGCTTTTGCTTAAAAAAACACTAAATTTTGATTGGATCTATGTGGGTTGAAAATATATATATATATATATATATATATAGAGAGAGAGAGAGAGGGGTTCAAAAGAGAACTATATATAAATGCTCAGAGGATAATATAGTCAAAATGAAAAAAAAACACAACAACAATCAGATTACATGTAATTATTAGTAGTATAATGAGGTTTAAGGAAAAATTCTCAAGAAAGTAAAAGCTAAGGAACACCTTAGTAACTATTCATCTAAATCAAATACATCTTAATAAATGTATTACTTAGTTTTTAGTTTTTTACGGTACTCGCGCAATTCAACGAAATACATCTCAATTTTAATTTTTTCTTTTATTATGTCTCTATCGATGTTATAACGACTTTAAGTAATATGCATTAATAAACAATACTTAATACATAAAAATTGGTTTTCAAAAGTGTATGTCAAATGCTTTATAATATAGTATATATATAAATATATAATTTTTTATAAAGGTAAGTATTTTATTAGTTATCAATTATTATTTTAATTACATTATAGATTTTTTATATTTAAAATGAGATGTTTATTTTTTATTTGATTATATATATCTACAGTTAGTTACACGAATTTCAAGCATAAAAATTTTAATAAGTTATATTTACTCATAATTTGCTTATAAACTTAAATTTTAAGTAATATATATTATGCATAAAAAATAGTTTTTAAAATTTGTTATCAAATATTTTATAATATAATATATATTATTGTCATAAATTATAAACCCTTTTGAGAAGGTATGATTTTGATTTTATATTCTTGGTATTTTTGACATTTAGCCAAGAGTGGAAATAATGTATAAAAGACAATCAATGTATTTAAGCAGGTCCATTGTGTGAGTTGTGTGCAGTAATTAATGTATGATATGGGGATCTGATGGTTCAGTGTAAGATTGATATATCTCATGGCAGCTTCAGCCTGACTCATTAATGGTATACTTATGATTTTGGGTTTCCTCCAACTGAAAAAGCAGCTGCAATGGGTCAGCTGGTTATGTGGTGTTAACCACAAAGTCATAGCCTCATAGACTTCAAACCCTCAATATGCATGCTTCACGGCTTGCCACTTTGACAGATCACAATTTTCAAATCATTTGAGGGAAATTACCCATTTTTGGACAACCTAATTCATTTTATAGTCGTTTTTTTAGGATAAATTGTATGAAAAAATAATGTATTTTAATTTGATTTTTATTTCGGGTAATATATTTTTAAAACTTCGATTTTAGTACCTAAAATATAAAGTTTTAAATATTTAAGTATTCTAGTAACCGGTTGAAATATTAACTCTTTCTTCTAATAAACCACAATACATAAAAACTAATTTTAGCTTAGAATATCCATGTCAGCAAATAATACTGAGTTGGATACCACACCACTCGTTACATCAGCATAATAACCGATTACTGCAACAACCGATTACCCGGATACTTAAATGTTTAAAACTTTACATTTTTAGTTGTTAAAATCGAAGTTTTGAAAGTTTGTTACCCAAAATAAGAATCAAGTTAAGGTACGTTACTTTTTTCATGCAATTTGCCTCTTTCCCAACTTAATTTTGACTGAAATGGTCTAAGATTTCATAAGTAGCATTTCATCAACTTGTGAAATTAACTTTTTTATGAATTTAATATTATGAAGTACCAATTTAACAAGTTGTTTAAGTGCTAGTCGCGAAACGTTGATATGACAAGTAACACTTTCGAGTCAACATTTCGTAGATAGCACTTTAACAACTTGTAAAATCTACTTTTAACGAATTTAATATTCATAAAGTACCAATTTGACAAGTTGTTAAAGCTATTTGTGAAATACTGACGTAACAACTCCCAAGTAACATTTCCAAGTCAATATTTTACAAGTAGGACCTTTAACAACTTGCAAAATTGTTAATTTATGAATATAATATAAAAAAATTTGGATTTTGCAAATAAAGGTTAGCTTTGCAACTACTCCTTATAGGTCACTCGGATTTTCTTGGCTATTATTTTATCTTCAACTGGCTGGGATCTACGGTTACAAAAAAACGAGTTGCAAAGATGGCACAAAAGGGTACCAATAAAACAACAAACCGAGTTGATTTCCTTTAATTGTGAAAAAATTGATCATCAATGATTGATACTATAGAACCCTCGGGCGTGTAGCTTAGTTGGCAAAGGGACAAGACAACTTTGCTCAAATGATCATACTAATAGAAGATGAAACGATTAACTAGCGATCCTTATGGCATAAATAGTTACAACAAGTGGCTACCACTCGAGATTTTACTTCTTAGGGTGAATTGCTTCTACAATAGCTTCGCCTATAGCTTCAATCTCTTCCTTTGCTCTTTCAAGGACGCCCGGTCCTTTGACGGAATCGATTGGCGTGTCTTCATTAATGTCGTTGCTCGTTCCATGTGTTTCCTTGTCATGGCTAGGTGATTTTTCGGTGCCAATCGTTGCCTTGATCTCTTCCTTGCCTCTTTCAATCAAGTTCGGGGATTTTGCATCCTCTTTGAATATTCAGAAAAACCAAGCAAAAAGAGTTTTTCAGTAATATACAAACATACATACATAACATATATAGTGTATGTTTGAAATACAAATCAATCTTAGCCGATCTAAAAATTTTGTTTCCCAATCTAAAACCATGATAATGAATCTTATCATCTTCCATATATATATATATATATATATATATATATATATAGGGTTGGGTTCACGTGAGACCAGCCTGTTTTCGTGAGACCCGTGAGACCACATTTTTACACGTAACCTTCACAGCAAAAACGCTGTGAAGGTTTAAAAAAAGTCGAACCTTCAAAGCAAAAACACTGTGAAGGTTTTAAAAAGTCACCTTCACAGCATTTTGCTGTGAAGTTTCAAGTGTAAAATGTTGGTCTCACGGGTCTCACGAAAACAAGCTGGTCTCACATGATCCCAAGTCTATATATATATATATATATCAATCATAATTAATTGATCATGATAATTGTCCATAAATATGCAAATTATTTTCTAATATAGGTATTAATTAAATATATCTATTAATTGGATGATAGTAGGATGATCATTGAATGGGTAGTTGGATGGTTATTGAATTGGAACGGTTCGATTTTATTGGATTCCAAACTCTCATCCAAGAACCGACATATCCAATTTGGATGCTGAAATTTTGGATTCAATCTAATCCAATTACAATCACAATATGATATCCAATTATGGTTCGTCGGTTCTAATTAAATTGATTTGTTTAAATCGGATTGGATGATTTTTTACATACCCTTAGCAATAATAGAAAAAATGGAGGTTAAATCCCCGTTTTTTGTTTTGATCTTGAAATTAGTTATGTTAAGCTATACACACACATAATATACAAGTTGATTATTATATAAAAAGGTGCGCCATGGCGATATGGAGCAAGACACGTCCCCGTCGTTACGAAATGACCCATAACATTTCTGTAAGGCGTGACTCATGCTATGGCGTCTTGAGGTGCACGTTTTATGTAACTAGTGATTTTAATTTTTAATTTTTTTTATTTTTTGTTTTACACTTTTAACTTTATATTTTACTTTTTTATGGATCCAATTCAACTAATCAAATCACTCACAGTTTCACAAATTCATAGCATTACAGACTCACGGTTAAAATGAACTTATAGAATTACCTTTCTAACTTCTATTTTACATATTAATCAAAAACCTATTTTTATAATAATAATCTATATAATTTTTTTTTTCTAATATGAATATATATTTTTTAATATCTAATTAGATAATATATAGAAAACATATATATATAATTCTATATATGATATACAAATTTGCCGCCTTATATTATGCCTTGAAAAACGTGACGTACTCACCGTGGTGTGTAAGGCTTAAGGCTTGGCCTCGCCAATGCACCACGCCTCACGACTTTTTTAACCTTGATTTTTAGTATCACATTAACCGCAATATCAAACCACTCGATTTTGAGCTCCGATCTACTAATGAAAGAAGATATCTTCGATGTGAACTGCTTTGGTAAAAATAATACTAATTGTTTGCTACAAAAATCTGGTTTGAAGTTAAGTACACCGCCATTAAAATCAACACAGATGCACACCATGTGAACAATTTTTGGAAGATTTAGGTTCACTCTGCAACTCAGAAGTAATCGTATTCCGATAAACCAGAAGTTTGAACGATTTCATTCAACAACTAAAGCCATAGACATAGATCATATACGACGGTATACTAACTTAAAACCCTACTTCTAAGAATTTGTGTAAACAAACATGTAGAAATGGATCAAAAGAGCACGATTGATTACATATGAATCTGAGTATCTATTGATTGAGGAAGCAAAGGAAAGAAAAAGTTCATTGGAGTACCTGGATGAGATTTCTTCGACTCAGAACCTCTGTCCGCCATCGCCGTTGATAGAATTCGAGATCACTTTCTGGCTTTCTGCCTTGGAAAACCTTTTGGGGATACTAATGCACATAAACCGAATTCAATTGGGCTGGCCTATAAGCGGATACGACCCAATTAAACTATTTAGAAAAAAAATATGAATTAAATTGTTTTGAAGTAAAATTATAGTTTTTATTTCGAGAACTCCATTTTTAACGTTACGTTTGGTATACAAAACAAAAACTTGTTATCGATTATTTGTTATCTACTGTTTGATAATTGTTGAATGATTTGGTGTATAACGATTAAATAGTCAGAATAATTAAAAGGCTCTCGTGATAAATGAAATGTAATTGTTTGATAATTGTTTACAATGAAATTATAACGATAAATGATTAAGGGAGAAGTTCATGATGCAAAATTATTCAGAGAATTTTAGAACCATTAAGAGACAAACTTTTTTTTGACCAAACAAGATTTATCTCTTAACGATTCAGAGATTGCCTTTTAATGAAACTATTAAGAGTTAAACAAACAACTCTCTTCTTTTAATGTGATATATAAATCAAAAAATATATAAAAACACTAACAAACTAATATTTTAATACAATAACCAACGATTCTGGCACATGAACTCAACATGTAAGTGACTTTTAAATACTTTAAACAAAGATTAAGTGGTCAGAATGATTAAAAAACTATCATGATATAATGCAAAATGAAATGTAATTGTTCGGTAATTATTTACAACGAAATTAAGGCACTAAATGGTTAAAGAAGGCCATAATACAAAATCATTAAGAGTGTTTTAGAACCATTAAGAGACAGTTATTTTTTTTTCGCCAAACAAGATTTACCTCTTTATGAAACTATTAAGAGGTAAACAAACAACTAAAGAACCACATTTTTTGTTTATAAAAACTTTCTATTGCAGATGCTCTCATAAACCGGTGGATTACGAACATAATACAAAACAAGATTTTCCACTAATAGAACAGTATTTATTCGTGCCCTAAGTTCATCCAAATATCAAAACGATGTTCAAGAAACCACACTAACGATCACGATGCAAGAAACTCAACCTTGTAGTTAGCATTGCTCTATTTTTGCTTGGATTCACCATTCAACTTCTAAACCAAACAAATCCAGTATATCCCACCTTACCCTTCAACTTCTAAACCAAACAAACCCAGTATATCCCACCTTACCATTCAACTTCTAAACCAAACCAAACAAACCCACCAACCCGGTATATCCTATCTGACCTTTAAACTTCTATAGATGACATAAAGTAGTTGAACATGGAAAAAAGGTTAATTTTGTTAAGTTGTGATTTTGAACCGGCCCTTGGTGATCTTTCGTGAAATGACTCCCCTATCTCCCTTGGTTGCTTAACTGCATTGCAATAAAAACACAACTTTGGAGAGGATAACATCTCAATGCTACATTTGCTTTCAATTAAGCCCTATTTGTTACAAGCATATAACATTTTCATCTTATGGTCATATTTATAGGGTGGGAATAGAATAAAGATAAAAACAAACAAACTCGGTATATCTCAAAAGTAGGGTCCAAGAGGGGATAGGATATTATACACAGACCTTACCTCATCCACCAAAATGTGAAGACCCCTGGCCTATGCATGACGCAAAGGTGTGTCCAAGCAAGCAATAAGATAGGTAATATAACATGTAGAATAACGGATTCATTTGTGTGTGCACGATTCATCCCATTTACTTGATATGACCCACAAGAAGCTAAAAAAATTGCTAAACGAAATGAGCCTTTACGCATTCATCTTGTATGGTTATGGGGTCTTGATAAGTCTCTGACCATTTGTCGTGTATATGATATGTGCAGTTTCTAGAAATTTACCATTTATTATTCCCATTCAGAAAAAAATGAGGCTTAAAGTTGGTTGGCCCAAAACGGAAACAAAGTATACTAATGTGTTTGCGTTTTTTTTT